TAGTATAGTATAGTATAGTATAGTATAGTATAGTATAGTATAGTATAGTATAGTATAGTATAGTATAAATTTGAAAAGTTCTAGGAACAAAGTGTCCTGTGAACCCAGGAGCAATCGTGAATCATTTTCCTGAGTGACTAGGGGAAGCAATGTTTAATCTGGGCCTTGAAGAGTGAGAGGAGCTTTTAGAGAAAACGAAGGAGGTAGTCAAGGCCAAGAGAGCAGTAAGTGTAAAGCCTCAGAACTACAGAAAGCCATGGAATGCATACTGAATGGGGAGGCTCCAGTAGAGAAGATGATGCATGAAGGGTATAGAGAAGGTGAGTCTAGGGAGGCAGGTTGGAGCCAGAGGCAAAGTGTTTTATATGACTCAAACCTATGGTGGGGACATGACATTACCATCTGCCAAGCAGATACATACTGATTTTAGCATCATCCGCAATCTGGCATCACTCCTTTCTTGGGAGGACTTTAAGAAAACAAACTGTATGTGTTAAGGCTGGAATGGACCTTTAGGGCTTTAAGGCTTTAGAATTGCATAACCCTGAATTCAAATCCTGGCTCTGCTATTGAGTGTGGCATTTGGGGCAAGATATGTCTCCCCTCTGAAACTTAGTGTCTTGATCTGTACAATGAAAGTGATAAAACCTCACAGAAATAAAATGGTGACTATGAGTTGGGCCATAGAATACCTTGTACACAGGACACACTTCATAAACACTGACTTCTCCTCTTAATTTTATCCCCTCTCCTTCTTTCACCTGGAACACATTTGGCCCAAGAATGTTGGTAACAGGACTTGCATTATTGCAGACTTTTCACGAAGGGAATTTCACAACTTAGTATCTAGATTCTGTTTGAAAATTCTTTCAAATAGAATAGTCTAAGGCTACCTAAACTCCTTTGTTGTACTGCCCCCCTGATGCAGGAAAGAGTTCCACAGAGCAGGCCAGTATCTATTATTCTGAAAATCTCTGCGGCGTTCCCATATGTTTTGTCACAGTTTGTCCCATATGGTTTGTCCCCTACAAACCTTTGAAGAAACAGTGAACCCAGAAGAATACTGTTGTCAGCACACTGTTGCGGGACTCTAGATAGCTGCTCAGAGTCCAATGAAATTGCGATAGATGACATTCTACACTTTGATCTTGATCCATCAGGATGTCTTCCATTCTAACCTGCTCTGAAACAGCAAGCAGCACTTGATTTTTCAGTATGGGTCACAATGAGATATTTTAATCACCCTCTTAATCACTGAATCACTCTTCCTGGTTAGGGAACCTAAGCTTTAGTATCATAAATGTGAAAAATTTAAACACCTTTGAAATTATTTAGTCCAGCATTTCCCAAGGCACTCAGGAGGAGTGTACAGAAGCAAAACGGGCACTGGCGGCATTATCTGTACAAAAGAAGCAATGGAACCTCACGGCCTGGACTGATTCTAACAGATAAAAGCCCATTTTACATCATTGCATCTGGAGACCCATAGGTGAAATGAGTCTAAAGAGTTGATATTGTATCCTTCTAATTAACCTTATTAATTATGAAAATAACTTCTTACTTCCATAAGTAATTATAGTACAGCATTATTATAATACTACAGTAATAAGTAGGCTCCTATGTAATTCTTGGATATATCTAAAGTTGATTCAGTATTTGAAAATGTAGCACTCATTATATTCACTAATATAATTCAAAGCTCACTCCACATTAGACATTGAGGTAAAGGGAGGAAACCTCTGAATATTGAAGAGAAGGTCGGTAGTGGGTTCTTATCAGTGGAGGTATACACATAAGAAATATATCTGATGTGTATTTAACACATAGTAAATGCCATTGGCATTATTATTAATTTACTTAATCCTCATAATAACTTTATGAATTGGCCGGCTATTATCATCGCCCCCATTTAGGGAAGAGAATATAGAAGCATCACAGGCAATTCAAGAGACTTGCCTACAATTACTTAACTAGTAAGTAGCAATGCCAGAATTTGCATGTAGGAAAGCTGGCTCCAGGGTCCACTTTCGTAATCAGTATGCTGCAACACCACCACTGCAGAGTAATTTGTATGGCTTCCATGTATACAATTTACAACTTTGGTTATATTTCTTCATTTTTAATTGCTGCCATCTCCAAACCATAATAGCAACAAGTCTAGCATCTCCCTCTTGGAAAATCTTTCTTCTTTCCGAAAACAATTTAAATCCCTGGAAGAGAAGACTCTCTTTCTTCCAAACATAAGTAGGATATAGGCATCATCACTGCTTCTCATAGCCATATGGAATTGCTACTTAACACGCACCTGAGATAGAAAAATACAGTTTGTCACTTCTATTCTGTTTCTGGCTGTCACCGAGTCTCTGCACAGGCCAACACAGCATCTTTTTAATAGACAGTGAGGAGACTCCTTCAGTGACAAGCATAGCCAAAGATGTACTATTTTAGACCACCCAGGGCTCTAGGGCTGTGCTCTTATAATCTCTTATGCCTTTGCCTTAAGCCATCATCAACTTTAACCTGTCCTCTAGAATTAACTAATTCAAGGGGCCTTATTCCCCTGGGCTATGGCCAAGAACCCAGAGAGAGCCCTCAATGGAAGATATAATTTGCATAGCCAATCTTAGTTGCTGCAGTGTCTCAGATAGTGTGAGCAGATTTCACATTTAGACTGATGCTGGACTTTTGTAAAGATTTATCCCAACCCATAAACTCGATTATTTCTTCTGGTGATAAATAAAATAGTGATCTCATCAATGTTCCAGGATCCCCTGACTGTGTGGGTCATACCTAGAGAAGCAGTACATGTAGTAGGTGGGTCTCCAGCAGGAAGCTTTCGCAGAGGTGGTTTTCAGGGATAATTTTGATCAATCAACTTGAAACATCACCTTGGAGTTACAAGCAAATCCTCTGCAATGAGATCTGTGCTGATTCCCAGATTGAGCACAGGACAAGATAAGTAAAGGAACTAATCTGTGGATAAGCATGTCTCTTCGAAGCCTCTAACAGGTATCTCTGATTTACAGGATGTCTTCAGGGCCATGCATCCAGAGCCTGACATTGTGCAGTTGTACCTGAAGCCACTGCTCATTGGAGAACTTGCTCCAGGAGAGCATAGCCAGGAAAGACACAAAAATGTGAGTGAGATGTCAGGATCCAGGGGTGTAGAAGGATGGAGACAAGGCATATTTTAAAGCCAGTTAACAGTTTTCTGTGAAGCCTGGGACCACAGTAGAGTCAATGGGTGCAGTCCACGTATTTCCAAACAATGCCTTTTTCTTTAGATCATCAGAACTCTTAAACCTTTGTGAAGCAAAAGAAGGAAATTGTTGGCCCTTCATCAAACAGTAATTTCATGTCTCTAAGCACCTACTTCATGCCAGGGAACTTATGGATATAATTTCCTTTTCATTGACTGCTTGCAATTATGCTTTATGTCTATGTCTATATTCCCAGCCCAACTAAGTTGCATGAGAGCTGAAACTATGTCCACTTTTCTTATCCCTGTGTCCTGAAGACCTCCTTTCACAGGATCAACATGTAGTAGAAACTCCAAAAACAACTACTGATTGAAAGATGTCGCTGTATCCTAACCACAGCCTTTGTAAATCTGGGGAGATTATCATTCAGGGAAAATAAATTACTTTCTAAAAGTCTGACAGCTGGTGTATCAAAGAGCTGAGACTCCAAATCACTTCTCTCTGGCTCCAATCCCTTAGGTATTCCCAAGGATAAATGCCATTCTTTCTTTAATATTTTGACTACACGAATACTGTCTTCTAAAGGACAGAGTGTCCATAGGACTAAAAATTCATTGGGATGGTTTTACATAACGCTGAGAGGAATTTTACTTAATATTGATTAATTCCATTTTCTGAAATTTATTTTTTGTAATAGCTTACATTTGCCTGACTCTTAAGCCCTTTGAAATAATTTGTACAATGTGTGAATCCATAAACCACTGTGAAGCAGAGGGAGCAAGGATTTTTCCCTCTTTGAAAAATGAAGAAACAGACTCACAAAGGGAGCAGGACTAATCTGAGGACACAGACCTGGTTACGGGCAAATCTGAGACTAATACTTAAGCTCACTCTTTAGGCCTATGTTCATCCCACAGCACAGCTCTGTTCCGAAGAGTGGGTTGGTAGGATGGACAGCCTGCACTCACGCCCCAACCCTGCCATTCTCAAATTGTGTGAGTCTAGGCAAGTTCTCAAACCTCTTTTGGCTCAGTTTCTCCCCCTATAAGATACCAAAAACAATGGCACCAACCTTATGAGAGTTATTGGGAAAACAATTGAAAGAATTAAAGTCATCATTGAAAGTGCTTAGAACAGCACCTGGAACACAGTAAATGCTCAATAAATTTTACTTATTATCATAATCATGAACTGATGATGGTACTAGTAATTTTAAAACTTTCAGATATGTCCCCATCATTTGGGTCAGGTAGCTCTAGGTTAAAAATTGAAGGTGATGCAAATCTTTATTGTTTTTCCTAAATTTTTTCTGTTAATAAAAATAAAATCCCACTAAGGACTGAGACCTATCAGATAATCATTATCTGAAAGAGTGTTGGTCTCCAGAGATAAAGGTCTACCATAAATTTTCTTTAATACATTTGTGGGAATATTTTAGTTGCTGTATATAGAAAATTAGTATTTGAGCATAAAATTCGGTGTCAGGCGTAGGTTTAAGTTTACCACCTGTCACTGACTTGTGATAACTTCAAGTCAGTCACTCTTCTGGGGTTTGCTGATCTCCCTCAACTCTGCAATAAATGTTTTGCAAAAGATGACAAGGCTGGAGGCACCCTAGAGATAACAAGTTAATATTAATTATTAAAATAATCTGTGGCCACAAGAATTGTAAGATTGATGGGACTTGGGAGATGAGCCTATCCAGAACTTTTGCCAGGCAATGCGTCTTTTAAAAGTTGTGTCTGTGAATTTTGAAACTTTTGGCTTCTAGAATTCTTTTCATAGCTCTTTCTATTTTGTTTCTAATGTTTCTCCTTTCTTACATCTGTACAACGCTGTTATCTTTCTCATAACCTGGTCACTTTCCCAGCTGTCCTAGTTTCGAGTCCATAATAGTCAATAAGCCAAGAGATATTTCTTTCCAACCTTGTGTGCCCCCCAATATGTTGTGCAAGTTTGTAAACCAATGCTGATGTTGTGCATGCACACTCACACATGCACATACACACAGGGCCCTTAAACGAGACCTCTCCAACTGAGTACACACACACTAATAAGCCCTGCCTTGTTTTGGGGATCCACTAAGCAGCTCTCAGAAAATTCATCCTGAGAGCTAACCTAAGTGAACTACATTGTTCTACGATCTCCATCTTCCATGAAATAACCCTTTCTACACATTAAGCAACTGATGGCCTGGAAAGTACTTTGTAAACTATACCAGTAACTATGGTAACACAGATCCATATAGATGACCAGGTTCCCCCAAACAGAACCAGAGCTCACTCAACACCTGAAATAATCCTGGTGGTTTAAAAGGTGACTGTTAGGCGTACGTATCTCTTTACCGCACTCTCCTCTCCTTCCCCCTCCCCTGAAAAAATCTAATTCTGAATTCCACAACAGGGTTTAGGACAGTTTACAAGTCATTATTCATCTTTCACTTCTGCAGAAAGCAACAAAAATTTTTCATAAATCTTTTTGAAGATTCTATTTGCTGGTTCATTGTTTTGGGGTTTTAATTCTGGACAATTAAATGTATTAATAAAATTCTATTAATAAAAGAGATGTATACAAAATTCATAAAATAAATTATTAATTATGTTCATCTGTATTCCCTTTCCCCTGAAGGAGCTAATTTACTCTTTAAATATTTGTTTCATAGTCACAGTTGGTGAAAGATTTCCAAGAATTGCGGAGGATCATAGAGTCTTTGAACATGTTCCACGCCAACCTGGGGTTCTTCTTTCTTCACTTTGCCCAGATCTTAATTTTGGAAGTGCTGGCGTGGCTAATACTGTATCATTTTGGCAGTGGCTGGCCTGTTACTATATTCATTTCCTTTCTTCTCACAATTTCTCAGGTAAGCAGGTATACTAAGCCCAGGCAGCGTCGTCATAAAAAGGCTCAGAATTTCTTCTCTCTTTAGATTGGTGCCAGCTGCTACCTGACACTTCTTGGCAAGGTACTCATCAATGTCAGGCACTTACCAGCAAGTGACCAAGCTTCACTGGGCTTTGGTTCTCTCCTCTCTAAAGTGAGGATAATAATGAATGTGGAATTATTCTAAGAAGGACTGATCAGGCAAATGTGTAAAATATAAAGCACAGTGTCTGGCCTATGGTAAATGTTTAATTAATGACAATTGCTGCTTTTTGCCCTGTTTTATCCCCACCATCTCAGTGATTTAAGTTCTGTCCTTAGCCATGCAACACGCATATTTATCTTTCATTCTTTAACCAATCAACATTTATCAATGCATCAGACTACGAATTCTTCAAGGGCAGAGGTTATATCCTATAGAGAATAAGAACGTGTGAGTTTCTCCATAAATGACAAATAGCAACTGACACTTAGCAGGGCATTTGATAAATCTTTGTTGAATAAAGTATGAATCTCTGAACATAGCCTTCTATGAGCATGATACCATGTTGTCGATACAAAGGAAAAGTCAACATGCTCCCTGCTCCTGAGAGAACTCATCTAGTGGAGGAAATAGTCCTTCACAAACAGCTAAACACACTGCCTGGCACAATTCAATGTTATTAATCTCAAGGAAAGGAACAAGCATGTACTGTTGGAGCAGAAAAGAGCATCATTTAATTCTCATTAGAATCACTGGAAAAGGTTTCGTAGAGAATTAACTGCAATGTGTTTCCAGGTTCCAGAATTCTGGATGTTAATTCTTTTTCTTAAATCATCTTGTTTTATTTATTGAAAAGTGACTTTTGGAAATAAGAAAGGAAACAAATATTTGTTTAGTGCGTAGCATAAGCTGGACACTTTACATACACGTAAGTAGTACAACAACCCCTGAGTCAGGTATTAGTGGCCCCTTTTATCAGATGAAGAACTGAAGGTGAGAGCTACCGAGTAACTTGCCCAGAGTCGTGAAGTTCGTTAGTGGTGAAGAACAGTTTAGAATTCAAATCTGTCTGACACCAAAGACCATGGTCTTTGCACTCCATCCTGGAAACCTTTGAAAGTGACAAGGAGAGCATTGCAGGCTGAGACAACAAAGGCATAAAAGTTGGAAAGATCAGGCAGGATATGTATGGGAGATAGAAACTAATTTTGGCTGGAGGTCAAACAAGACCACCCACTGTTCTCAAATAAGGTTGTGAATCTAATATGGGACTCATTGATTGATTTCTTGTTAGGCTCCCAATTTCTCTAACAGTAACTTCATCTCTCCTAGGCCCAGAGCTCATTTTTGCAGCATGACGTGGGGCACCTTTCCATATTTAAGAAGTCCAAGTGGAATCACGTGATGCATAAATTTGTGATGTGCCATCTCAAGGTATGGGACATCAGGGAGCATGAGGGGGATTCCTGAACATGAGTCCCTAAGGAGTGGTTCCCATGTTTGTGCATGGATATCAGTAAAAAATGTTTATGATACCCCACAAATAAATGTAAGTGTACTGACAAGGTAGATAATATATACTCATATATAATACAACATTATAAAATATGTGTTGAAATGAGAATTTTAAATTTTTTTGTGAGGATTCATTTAGTTCTGTTTAAGAAACTCTTATATTTTGTATTGCCCTGGTAGACTCTTTGGCTGAATCCCTGGCATCCCCCTGCCCTAAGGAATCACCTCATAGAAGAAAGTGTGTGCCTCGAAAAATGACGATGTGCATTGTGGAATCATAAGTGGGAATATTCTTAGAAGGGATATGAAGATTTATTGTAGGGAAGCTAGGGGAAACCAGCAAGCCTGATTAGTCCTAGGGGTGGGGGCAAGGAGGGGGCAGCTATGAAGAAATAAAGGAAAAGATGCAAAACAGATACTAGTGAACAGAAAGACTAGTCAGGAAAAGCCAGGTGGCTCTGTTCAAGAGTGGAGGATTGCAAAATCCAGACTGCTGGAAAAAGCAGGTAGTGATATGACAGCTGGTCTTATCCCCCCTTACTTGGGCTCCAGGGAGCAGGTACACTGTCCTATGCACCACTGCAGTGCAGCACCTAGGAGAGTGCCTGACGCACGGAGCGCCTCAGTAAGCATTTGTTGAATGAAGGAATGAAAAAAAGAAAGAATGAGTGAATGAATGAATGAATGAATGAATGAATGAATGGACCAGTTAACAGTGCAGGACTTCCAAGCATGGCTTCCAGCCCTGGCTCTGACTGTACTCATTGTATGATCTTTAGGAAATCACATTCTATCTCTGGCCCTCAGTGTTCCCATCAGTTCCCATCAGGAGTTAAACTAGATCTCTGCTTTTCTAGAACTTTTAAGGTTTTGGTCACTATGTACTCTGGCCTAGAAGGGAAGCAAATGTCTCTGAGCCTTCCACTAAACCAAATCCTTGTGTTCAAACCAGGACCCCTTAGGAAAAACCCACGGGCACTGACTCAGAGCCTGTTAGTTCTTCCCTAACACAGTGATTTTATACATATATCTCATTCTGGTTATCTGCTTCCCCAGCCCGTAGTGGCTTGGAAGTAGCCAACTAATGAAAGAGTGAAGACAATGCTGGAGTCAGGCCCACAGAGAGTAGTGAGCAGTAACTACTCACAGCAAATGATAAGGAAACACAGATGGGGACTCACATTGTGTGAGCCTGACAAGTGCCGGGTTCAGAACTAGTCCTGTTAGGCTATTTTCTCAAGTAATTCTAACGACGTGAGGACATAGCACTCCTAGTTTTCAGTTGAAATTCATGTTCAGAGGGGTTAAGTATTCAAGCCAATGGCCATAAACTGGTCACTGGAGAATTCATAGCACAGCACTAAATATTGCAGGCACTGGAGCAGAGCTGCTCAATGCTGGCTATCATGTGGAGCCACCTCAAGAACTTATTTTTTAAAGCCCTGATGCCTAAGCACCATCTCTAGATATTCTAAATTCATCTCCGGTAGAGTCTAGACATCAGTATTTTTTGAAAGTTCCCCAGGTGATTCGAACCTGCAAAAACGAACCCGCCTTCTGTGGGAATTCATGCACTCATGAGCTGCGTCACTTTGAACAAATTACTTACTGATTTTGAACCTCAGTTTCTTCAACCGAAAAATGAGGATGGATGATGGCTTCAACCTGATTAGGATGTTGTTAGGATTATACTCAATGCTCATATGGCATGCTCAACCAAGTGTCTGGCATACAGGAAATGCTTAATAATGGTTAGTTGTTACTAACCTAGGAATAGCCTTTCCATAATCAAAATGAAGACTCAGCATCAATAAGAAAAATGTTTAATCATTGAAGTATTAAGAAGATGGAGATAAATCATATCATCACTGAGTTGCAAGGTACCTGGAATCACCTACTTTTACCTACCCTCTCTCCCACTGATCAGTTTGAGCCTTAAGTCAATCGGGTAACACAGAGTTGGATTTTGAGACATGTCCTCCAAAATAGTTAGAATGAATAATAGGTTGTTATTTCATGTGACAGGTCACATTTGACCAGAAAATTCCTAGGGGCATTCTATTCCACCCTCTCTTCACTATCGTAAGATAGATGAGGCTGTTTCTGGATTCACTCAGAGATACTTACCACAGAATAAAAGCAGAGGCGGTTTCTTACGCTATTGTGAGTTTCAGGTAATAGGCCAGCCCATTTTTCCTCCTCTGTTCTGAGGAGTCAGAGGAAAGGTAAGACTCATCTGCCCTAGAGGTAGCTGGCAGTGGATTCAGTGCCAGTATGTGAAATATTTCGGATCAGCCCCACCCATGCTGGCACTTTAAAAAATAAATCACTGCTTTCCCATTGATCCAGATTTGTACACAGCTATTTCTACCTAAGCTGTGTCTCCAGACACAATTTTGCACTAGTCGAAATGAATATAACCTTGCTGACTTGTGAACTGAGTAAGAAAATGGGAAATGGCTCTAAAAGCAAATCAAGTGTACTCTGCCTTTTTTGCAGGCAAAAACAGTGACTCATGAGCAAAATGAACATTGGCTTCAACTATGTGCAGGAGAGAAAACTACCTGTGGAGAGGAAGGTGGGCAGGGAGGATGTAACAAAGAAAATTATAATGTAAATAGCAACATCCCCACCTTAGACATGCATCACAATTTTAAAGTTTAAAACTTAACTTCATGTCAATTACCTCCCCCCACCACCTCCTGCAAAAGGCACCAATATGGAGATTCTTTAGAATTTTCATTCACCAACTGAGAAAAAATATATATGCTCTGGTCTTTCCAGTGTTTGCACAATAAAAGAGCACTTCCCAAAATAAACCATGAAATGTTTGCATACATTTTGGACTACTGTGAAATACTAAAATCAAAATGGACTCCTTGTAGCATATTTTTCATATTCATCAGTATGCACATATAAAAAAACTAAGAATCAAGTCTCATTACAGGGATAGTGGGACAGAACATTTGAAATTAAGATCTTCCTAGAAAATCTGGCCTATACTGATTCCATGATGACATCCTAAAACATTTTATTTTGGTAAGGAAAAGGAAAGTGTCAAGCATGTTATTTTCTGCAATCCCCTCAGAGGCCTCATCCATTTTATAGATGAGGAAATTGCCCAAAGTCACACACCTAAATAGATAGCCAAGTAGGGATTAAATTCAGGTTCGTCTCATTCCAAAGCCTGGGTTTGTTCTTTTTATTATTAGTAGTATTATTATACTCTAAGTTCTAGGGTACCTGTGCACAACCTGCAGGTTTGTTACACAGGTGTACATGTGCCATGTTGGTTTACTGCACCATCAACTCGTCATTTACAGTAGGTATTTCTCCGAATGCTATCCCTCCCCGAGCCGCCCGCCCCAGACAGGCCCTGGTGTGCGATGTTCCCTGCCCTTTTTCTACTGCACTGAGAATAGACCTAACGTGGAAATGTGGAATGACAGGGTTGTTCCTGCCTAGAATTTGGCGAAGGGGCAGCCTATTTGGTGGGCAGCTGATAATCCTCTCTTGCCTGTGGAGTACTTTGTTTCCCTTGTCTCTGGCAATAGTGGCTTCCAGAAAGAGGGGCCAAGAGAAGGTGCTTATTTGGATCACACCTATAATTACTTGACCATTATTCTAAGCTTTACCTGTTAAGATCTGCTCCCCGTAGTATCATGAATCAAAGCCAGTCTCCCACATTACTGCTCACCACCACAGATAGTCATTGGCTAAAAGAGTACAGTCAGCGGGTGGAAGAGACCAAACATTGGCTCTCAGGGGACTTAGTTGAAAAGGAGAATATCTCATCACATTGTCCTTGTTCAGTTATCTACTACTTCCATTGGATTATATGTTTCCTAAGTGTGGAAACCTCATTTTATCATGTTTATCTTTATGTTCCAAATGCCTAGCTCAGTAACTGATACCTAGTACATAATTCAAAATAAATAATGAATGTGTGAATAAATACATAATTATAAGAGTAAGTGGCTCATATGCAATTTAAAAAATCTTTTATCATTTTATTTTATTTTTATTTATAATCGACACATAGTAATTGTATGTATTTATGAGGTACAGTGTGATGTTTCAATGCATATGTACGTTGTATAATGATCAAGTCAAGGTTGTTAGCATATTCATCACTTTAAACATTTATCATTTCTTTGTTGTAACATTCAATATCCTCTCTTCTAGCTATCTTGAAATATATAATACCTAATTGTTAGCTACAGTCACCCTACTGCAGTGGGCCTCAATCTTTCTGGCACCAGGGACCGGTTTCATGGAAGACAATTTTCCCATGGACCAGTGGGTGAGGGGTGGTTTCAGGACGATTCAAGCACATTACATTTATTGTGCACTTTATTTCTATTATTATTAGATTGTAATAATGAAATAATTATACAATTTACCCTAATGTAGAATCAGCGGGAGCCCTGAGCTTGTTTTTCTGCAACTACTGGGTGCCATCTGGGGTGATGGGAGACAAGGACAGATCATCAGGAATTAGATTCTCATAAGGAGCATGTAACCTAGATCCCTCACATGTGCAGTTTACAACAGGATTCGTGCTCCTGTGAGAATCTAATGCTGCAGCTGATCCCACAGAAGGCAGAGCTCAGGCTGTAATGAGAACGACGGGGAGCAGCTGTAAATACAGATGAAGCTTCCCTTGCTTGCCTGCCACTCACCTTCTGCTATGCAGCCCAGTTTCTAACAGGCCACAGACTGGTACCGGTCCGTGGCCCGGGGGTTGAGGACCCTGGCCTTAATGTGTAATAGAATGCCAAACTCATTTTTCCTGTCTAGCTGTAACTTTGTACCCATCATATGCAATTTGATGGAAGAAACACAGAGCACTGATGGGGCCCTAGAAGGGGGGACAGAAATTGTTAAGTATAGTTTGTGACATGTTGAGGCTTAAGCATCATGAACTATCCATATATATATATATAAAATATATATATATATCACATATATATCATGTATATATGATATTTCATGATACTCAAGCTCAACGTGTCACAAACTATACTTAACAATTTCTGTCCCCTCCTCCCCTTCTGGGTGGGGAGGAGAGAGAGAGATCCATATATATATACACACACACACGCACACACATATACACACACACACACACACACATATATATATATATCTGGAGAGTCCCCATTCAGGCATAAGATTCAGGATAGAGACTCAGGCTGGAGGGTTGCAAGAAGGTTAGGGAATGTTAATGGGGAATGAGATGGGGGTTGCTAAGAAACAACTGCAAAGAAGACTATGGAAACACAATGCTAATGCTCACAGATTTTCAAATAAAGAGCCATCCCCTTCTGCTACAGATGTTTGGTGTCCAGACCTGCATGCTCCTACAGAAATACAATGCACCACATTAAAATGACACTTGCATTTCAAATTTTCCAATAGTCATATTTAAAATGGAGTAACTTTATTACTCCACATATATTCAAAATAGTATTATTTCAACATGTAATCAATGTAAAAATTATTGATGAACTATTTTACATTCCTTTTTTCATACTGAATCTTCAAAATCCAGTAGGTGTTTTATACTTACGGCTTGTCTTTATTCGGTCGCTTTTCAAGTGCTCAGTTGCTCAATAGCCACATGTGCTAATGGCTATTGCATTGGACAGAGCGGACTAGAACATGCATAGACTGCTTGCTAAGCTATGTCAAATAAGCAATAAAAAACTACTACTGTTGCTCATTCTTCTGTAAATGATTAACATAAAGGAGGGAAACTGAATATCCCAGCATGCCAACATTTTACATACGTCATCTCATAACTCCCCAGACCACCCACGGAGGTAAATGTGCTTATGTTATTTACTGGAGATAGAAGTGAGCCTCAAAGAGGTTGGGTGACTTGCCCAAAACATGCAGCAGTATTTATACATCCAGTTTATGTAACTAGGTTGATGTGCCTCCAAATTATTTGCTCTATTAAAATTTCAGACTTTCTATGGTAAAAAAAAAAAAAAAAAATTCACCAACGACCTAATCAGAGGTGATTCAAGCTTGGCATCAGCTAAAATCTTTTTATTCTCATTTATTTTTGTATGAGAGCATTGAAACCGAGACATGCAAGGATCTGAGCCAAGCCCCCCAAGGAGATCACTTCAGATCCATGATTCTTTGAAACACTCATTGAAGTAAGATACCTGGGGCTGCTTCTTTTTCCCCAGAACTAATTAAAGTCTCGGAGCTAAGTCTTCTTTATATATAAAATAGAAACAATTCTCTCTGCCCCACCTAACTTCAGATTTTTTTTAATGAAGATCAAATAAGAGAAGGATGGGAGAACATTTCTTTTCAACCAGCTTTTATGATTTTCATTACCAAGACTTTCAGCCTAAAGTTGTGTTTCTGGATCAGAGATTTCTTTCTTTGTAAGCTAAGAGTGCCTCTGTCCGATGAGTCTTGCTGTGGCTCAGCAGTGGAGGCAAGCTAGAGAAACTCGGATATCTTATTTTGACTTTGGGGATGCACGCAGAAAGCTCTGAGAGTGAAGGGTATTTCAGGAAAGAATTATTTCAAGTAACGAGCCCTCTCTTCTCCTCAGGGCCTGTCAGCAAACTGGTGGAATTACCGGCACTTTCAACACCACGTAAAGCCGAACATCTACCCCAAAGACCCGGATATTGACATGGGCCCACTTTTTCTGCTCGGAGATTCACAACCTGTCAAGGTACACTTAGAAATCTTGAGCACTGGGGACATGTTCCTGGAAGTGGTTCCTGGAAAGGCTTACAGCCTTGCCTTGGAAAAATCAAGCCAGAAATTCTGGCTTCACACACAATCTGAGAACATTTCTCCTTCTTTTAGGCTCAAAATATAGATTTGAAATAACTGAATCTGGGGCTGTAAGAATACAAGGGCATTTAGAGTCATAACCTTTAAGTCTATGACCTTAAAGATCATCCAGTCCAACCTCCCACAGCAGGAAATATGGGAATCCACATTACTCTGTTTGAGCAATCTCAGTGACAGATGGGTCCCTGCCCAGTGCCTGTCATTTTCTCTGAGGCAATACAAGCCAGTGTTAGATCGTGGAACCAGATGACTGGGGTTGCAATGACTGTCTGAGGTTTAAACAGGGCGTGGAGAAACATTCACTGAGAGAATATAGGTCAATATATTCAACAAGCACTAGGTCACGTACATTCACATACCTAGTTATCTCAACTAATTCTAGCCCAGTTAGAAGACTCTATGCTGTTATATTTCGTTCATGTTCATTTTAGTGCATTTATACATGAACTACAGCCCAAATGCCACAGAAGAGAGCTAGAGGTCTCACCTCTAATTTGAGCTTATTAAACAACAGAAAAAGGAGGGGGAAAGTCATCTTCAGAATTTCTCAGTTAATGATTACTTTTTAAAACTTCAACTTGAAACCATCATGTAAAGCACAACATCAATTACCAAGATTTTTAGGAGGGAGTCTTTCTTTTTCTTTTTTTTTTCTTTTTTTTTTTTTTTTTGAGACAGAGTTTCGCTCTGTCACCCAGGCTGGAGTACAGTGGCATAATCTCAGCTCACTGCAAGCTCCACCTCCTGAGTTCATGCCATTCTCCTACCTCAGCCTCCCGAGTAACTGGGACTACAGGCGCCCGCCACCACTCCCAGCTAATTTTTTATATTCTTTTTTAGTAGAGGCGAGATTTCACCGTGTTAGCCAGGATGGTCTTGATCTCCTGACCTTGTGATCCGCCCGCCTCAGCCTCCCAAAGTGAGGAGGGAGTCTTTCTTAAGCAAAGGAGGTATAAGGATAACCAAAGAAAAGTGCCTCCGTTCAAGTGAAGTACCTGAGAGTCAGATACTTGGGAAGAGGTTGCTATCTCCTAGAAAAACTAGAAGTTTTATAAAAATAAAACGGTGTAGCCTCCTCAGTTGTTGCCTGTCTGGTCCATTAACCAAATATTGTGCAACTTTTTGAAAGTAGTTTTTTTCATCTTTGGGAGACTCACCCTTTTCCCTAGCTGAAAGAGAAAATAAGGTCTCTTGCTTTGAAAAAATTCTTGGTGATGTGATCACAAATCAGTCGCTTTTGACAATGATTCCGCAAACACATTGGACTACCCTGATGTTTGTGGGTTTCTATGATCATCATTGGAATTGTAAAGTATTGATTTCTACAATTGTCCCCTCGTATCTCCCCTTCCTCCTAGAGAGCAAGGGAGTTTGTCTCAGGGAAGTTCGTGAAGCAGCTTGAGTTCAGACATGCCCTCTGTAGAGGTATTTTCAGTACACATGCTACCTCTTCACAAACAATAGAGGTTACCTCTCCAAGTTCTCAAGCTGCTCCTGGGATATCCCTAAAACCTTAGAGTTCTATGTAATATAATTTCAAAGCTACTGCACAAGACGTTATTTAAAATTATTTATTTAAACTCTAAAATTCAGTAGTTTCACATCAAAAACATTTCTAATCAGCCCTGGGCTTTTCCTTTCTTCCTTCTTTACTGTCTGCCTTTCTAATACTTTATTCAAATGTTAAGTTTCTTCAGCAAGCATTTATTAATACTTCTATGTCCTGTGCTTATATCCTGGAAGACAGAATCCTCCTTTGAGGTGATACTCAAAATCTGTCCATTATGGTTTGTTCACTCCCACACACTTCCAACTAGTCCCTTTACCATGTTTCCTGCTACTAAAATGTTTAAAGGTTTAGGAATAACTGCAAATAGCTATTATTACCTTATCACTATGATATTTCTTGTAATTTTTGACAATAAGAGAAGGAAGGACCAACTACACAATCCAAATACAAGAAATCTATACATAGGAGGAAAGATATCAAAGGAAAGGAGAAAGCAAGAGTCAAACACTGCCCAGAGTTTTAACTGAATGAACATAGGCAAAAATACAGAGTGAGTGTGAATTATCATTTATTCAGTAATTCCTTCAATAAACATTTACTGAGTGTCTGCTAGATACTAGAGATATAACCATTACTTCTCTCCTCCTTTCAAAGCATTTGCTGCCTTTGTGCCCTGAATATATGCCAGATTAACTAAGGAAAATCCTAGAAAATGAATCAAATTCTCAGTAGTGAATGTAATATTATAATTATATTATTATATAGTAATTATATAATGTATAATAAATATTATATGTACTATCATCATGGGCTAAAATAAATGATAGTGTGATTTCCATGATGAGAACATAAAAGAAGAAAGATGAGACAGACAGGAGGGCCCATGACTATATATTTTATCATATTACCATTTAGTATCTTTTGGATGAATGAATTTAAAAGAAAATTCTTGACTGTGATGAATGAATCACACATCTGTTGGATGAATGAATGAATATGGAGCAGAATCCTAAATGCCATAGTTGAAGAAGCACAAGAAAAACTCAGAAATGTCCCATTTCAGTGACCATTCCACCTCACATAAAGAGAAAAAAAAATTCAAAATGATTCCCACAGGAACAAAAAAATGATACAATTCCTACAGTCCAATGGAATATTCCATTTGTGATAGAATTATCCACATATAATTAAAGCAAGACGACGACACAGTATTTCTTCCTCCCATCCTGGTTCTGGTTCTTCTAGTGCCTCAGACTTGAAAGCTAATGAACACTGATCAGATGGCTCTTTCCATAAAGATTTTAGACACACACACACAATCATGTGCACACACACACACATACACACACACACACACACACAGGCATCCTTGAGTGTGATGACCAGAAGTATGGTCTCTTATTTTTGTTTTATTCTCTCTTCATTCAGTACGGCAAGAAGAAAATCAAATACATCAACTATGAAAAGCAGCACCTGTACTTCTACATGGGTGAGTCTCCCAGAGCCACATTCCTTATATCCCATTTCCTTGAAGCAAGTACTTGTCAAGGCAGAAGTCATAATTGGAATGCTCTCACAGAGACCAGCCCACGTCCTATTGCTATTGAGCAAAGCAGCATGTCTTATTTCAGACTCCCCAGAGTGGAAATCTGCAAAGGGAGATGGAAAAGTAAACAGCCTTTTTAAACAGCACCTCATCACTCTGATGAGGAGGGAGATACCCAACGAGGGAGGGAAGGCAGGCTGCCAGTCAAGGGACCTGCATCTAGGACTGTCATTCTGGAAAGACCAAACATCTATCAAGAGAAAAGAATAATGGTGTTTGGGTAGGGAGGAAGTAGAGATGCGGAGATAAATCTGAAGCATTGACAGTGTGACACCAGAAATGGAGAGGCCGGGGAACAAAGGGCACCTGCAGCGCTTTTGTGTGGAAGAAAGCTGTCTGCTCCCATGACCTGCATATAGCTGTGGGAAGGCATGAGACATACATACCTGAGTGTGGGCATGTGGGTCAAGTTTGAAGGAAAATACAGGTAGCTGCGTAAATTTGATACCAGTAAAAGAACATCATAAGCAAAGACTGCTCTTAACCAATATCAAACTCATAGCAGCTCACAAAATAAGCTTTCAAGAAACCCCCAAATCTGCCCAACTAAAACATATATCTGGGGCATAAACCAAAATCAGGGAAAGAACCAAACATTTCCTGTAGTCCAGTTGTTCTCAACCAGAGCAATTTTGCCTCCCAGGGGCAATGTCAAAAGATATTTTTTTGGTTATCGCAACAGAGGAGGAGGGAAGGTATTGGCAGTCAGTGGATAGAAGCCAGGGATGCTGCTAAACATTCTGCGATGCAAAGGAAGCCCCTCATAAAAATAATCATCTCACCCAAATTGTCAGCAGTGCTGGGCTTGAGAAACATAGTTGCAGATGATCTGATTTGCCCACGTGTAGGCCACAAATGGCCACCCCTATCATGCCAGAGGAAGATAGCAGGGGGCAAATTTTTTGAAGTGTGAGGTCGACCATCACTGCTGGATCCTCTACAGTGGGAATTCAGCCTTCCCCATCCTGCACTCGTCACCTGCCCCACTGCTCTTGCAAAACCTAAAAGAGGAATGAGGACATTGGTGCCCCATTTTTAAAAGGTAGCTGATTCCCAGTCTGACTAGGTGTGTCTGCAAAAGAAAACCCTGTTGGAGTTTCTTCTCTGAACTCTCCTGAGAAACATGTGTTTACCTCCCCTGTCTGAAGTGGGACAATATGCCCTTACCTTATGAGAAATGAGGGAATGGTGTGAATTCACTGCAAAATGCCCACTTCACAAACCACACTACCACCACCAAGAGCTGCTTTATTGTGGCCCTTCCCGGCAAATGCTAGCTTCACATCTCGGGTACAAATGAGTCGTACTCAAACTGTCAAAAAGAAACAAAACCAGACAGTTGTTAAAGGTAGCAAGACCAATCATGTTCAGGCTATCGCACTAGGGGAGAGAGACTTCACCATAAACCAAGCTTAATTCTCCTGACGCAAAAGTGAGAGAGAGGCTTTTTAAATGCTGGAGCATGCTAAAGGAAAAGTACTGAAAGACACTGGGAGATGGGGTGGGGGTGGAGGAGCTGGTTGGTGAGATTTGTCCAGGCTGTCTGTGTCTGCTAACTGGTACTCAGCAAAGTTAGGCTCCTATCCTCCCAAACAGACTGACAGATAAGAGCCCCATCCTTCTTGATGACTACATTTCAAAGGGATTGTTACCAGGCCCTTGAGAAATACATTTCTGGAGTGTAGAAGCTACATCTCAAAAGAAGACACAAAGGATTTATAATTGTCAGTGTCCTAAAGTAAATGCTCTCTAAAAAGGGGTGTCAGGTGCCTATAGTCAGACACTGGCCAGAATAAACAGTAAATTATTTTGGCAGCCCTGAGCTTTCTCAGGTAAAAACTTCAAGGATGCTGGGATTATCCCAGAGAGATAGCCTTGAGCTTTGAGGAACTATGCTAGTGTTTGTTCAAGTTTCTTAGTGTGGAGAGTGGATGAAATCATTTGTGCTGAGAGTCTGCAATTCTCGTAGGCCAAGGATGAGGCCTAGTTGAGAAGAGGGCTCAAAGGATCCTAACTAAAGTTTGACCAGGGAGACAGCCTTTGTCAAAAGCCAGAGGATCTCCTTAAGGATCCTCTGTGCCTGGGAAGCCTCAGTGATGCTGGGGGAAAGGCAGGTAAATAACTCTGACCAGGAAACGAGTATACTTTCTTCATCTCTGATACCTCAACACACTATAATGGGGCTAAATCCCAAAGATCCAGGGAGACTGAAGGACTCCAAGGACCTTGAAAACACTTGAAAGCTGGTAGCAGAAGCTGTTCAGGGATGCCTTCATCAAAAATGACTCAAATCTCCCAAGCTTTCCTAGCTTCTTTGAGGCAGCTTGAACCTGGAGCTACTGATCTAATTCTTAGCCCCGTCTTTTAGACTTGAAATGCCCATTGCAGTCCAGGATGGGGCTGTGGATCTCCACTTGCATCTTTCCTTGGGGCCAGCATTCCAGGAATGCTGCATTAAGGAGATAGACTCCTGCTCACTTGCATTGGGGTCACATTTTTTAATTAAATACATTTACTGGATTTATTAAATAAATGTATTAAGTACATTATAAAAATACAACACAGTAATCACAAAACAGATGCTGGATCATCCTAATACCAAAAACAGGAAGAGACAGAACAACAAAATGAGATTTTAGGCAAGTACCCCTGATGAACATCAATGCGAAAATCCTTACTAAAATACTGGCAAACCAAATCCAGCAGCACATCAAAAAGTGTATTCACCACAATTAAGTTGGAATTCAAGGCTGGTTCAACATACACAAATAACTAAATGTAATCCATCACATAAGCAGAACCAATGACAAAAACCACATGACTGTCTCAATTGATGCAGAAAAGGTCTTCAATAAAATTCAACACCCCTTTATGCTAAAAAACTCTCAATAATCTAGGTATTAATGGAAAGTATCTCAAAATAATAAGAGATATTAATGACAAACACACAGCCAATATCATACTGAATGGGCAAAAGCTGTAAGCATTCCCTTTGAAAACTGGCACAAGACAACCTCTCTCACCACTCCTATTTAACATAGTATTGGAAGTTTCTGGCTAGGGCATTCAAGCAAGAGAAAGAAATAAAGCATATTCAAATAGGAACAGAGGAAGTCAAATTGTCTGTTTGCAGATGACATGATTGTATATTTAGAAAACCCCGTCATCTCAGCCCAAAATCTCCTTAAACTGATAAGCAACTTCAGCAAAGTCTCAGGATACAAAATCAATATACAAAAACCACAAGCATTCCTATACACCAATAATAGACAAACAGAAAGCCAAATCATGAGTGAACTCTCATTCACAGCTGTTACAAAGATAAGAAAATACCTAGGAATACAACTTACAAGGAACATAAAGGATCATTTCAAGTAGAACTACAAAGCACTGCTCAAGGAAATAAAGAAGGACACAAACAAATGTAAAAATATACCATGCTCAAGAATAGGAAGAATCAATATCATGAAAATGGCCATATTGCCCAAAGTAATGTGTAGATTCAATGCTATCCCCATCAAGGTACCATTGACTTTCTTCACAGAATTAGAAAAAACTACTTTAAATTTCATACGGAACCCAAAAAAAGCCCATATAGCCAAGATAATGCTAAGCAAAAAGAACAAAACTGAAGGTATCATGCTACCTGACTTCAAACTATACTACAAGTATACCAAACTATACTACAGTAACCAAAACAGCATGGTACTGGTACCAAAACAGATATATAGACCAATGGAACAGAACAGAGGCCTCAGAAATAATGCCACACATCTACAACCTTCTGATCTTTGACAAACCTGACAAAAACAAGCAGTGGGGAAAGGATTCCCTATTTGATAAATGGTGTTGGGAAAACTGACTAGCCATATGCAGAAAACTGAAACTAGACCCCTTCCTTATACCTTATAAAAAATTAACTCAAGATGGATTAAAGACTTAAACATAAGACCTAAAACCATAAATACCCTAGAAGAAAACCTAGGCAAAACAATTCAGGACATAGTCATGGGCAAAGACTTCATGACTAAAACACCAAAAGCTATGGCAACAAAAGCCAAAATAGACAAATGGGATCTAATTAAACTAAAGAGCATCTGCAGAGCAAAAGAAACTATCATCAGAGTGAACAGGCAACCTACAGAATGGGAGAAAATTTATTTAATCTAGCCATCTGACAAGGGGCTAATATCCAGAATCTATAAGGAACTTAAATAAATTTACAAGAAAAAAACAAGCAACCCCATCAAAAAGTGGGCAAAGGATATGAACAGACACTTCTCAAAAGAAGACATTTATGCAGCCAACAAACATATGAAAAAAAACTCATAATCACTGGTCATTAGAGAAATGTAAATGAAAACCACAATATGATACCATCTCATGCCAGTTAGAATGGTGATCATTAAAAAGGCAGGAAAAAACAGATGCTGGAGAGGATGTGGAGAAATAGAAATGCTTTTATACTGTTGGTGGGAGTGTAAATTAGCTCAATCATTGTGGAAGACAGTGTGGTGATTCCTCAAGGATGTAGAACCAGAAATACCATTTGACCCAGCAATACCATTACTGGGGATATACCCAAGGAATTATAAATCATTCTGCTATAAAGACACATGCACACATACGTTTATTGCAACACTATTCACAATAGCAAAGACTGGAACCAACCCAAATGCCCATTAATGTTAGACTGAATAAAGAAAATGTGGCACATATATACCATGGAAAGCTATGCAGTCATAAAAATGGATGAGTTCATGTCCTTTGCAGGGACATGGATGAAGCTGGAAACCATCATTCTCAGCAAACTAACACAGGAACAGAAAACCAAACACCGCATGTTCTCACTCATAAGTGGGAGTTAAACAATGAGAACACACGGACACAGGAAGGGGAACATCACACACCAGGGGCTGTTGGTGGGTTGGGGGTTAGAGGAGGGATAACAGGAGAACAACCTAATGTAGATAGATGATGGGTTGATGGGTGCAGCAAACCACCAAGGCACGTGTAGACCTATGTAACAAACCTGCACGTTCTGCACATGTATTCCAGAACTTAAAGTATAATTTTAAAAAAACGATGCTGGAAAATATTTAGAGAAATGGGAAGATGGTCAGGATATGCTTTATTTTTAAAGGTAGTGTAGCAAACAGTACTATAGGTAGCATAATAGCAATTTTTAGAACATATATTAATATATCTATATTCAAAATGTTTATGGTAATATTTGGGTAGTAAGATTACAGGTGATTTTCCTCTTTTTACTTTTATTTTAGTTTCAAGGGTACATGTGCACGTTTGTTATACACATAAATTGTGTGTCTCGGGAGGCATCACTACTCACAATAGCTAAGACACGGAATCAGCCTAAATGCACATCAATGGTAGACTGCTTAAATAAAATGTGGTACGTATACACCATGGAATACTACACATCCATTCAAAAGAATAAGATAATGTCCTTTGCAGCAATATGGATGGAGATGGAGGCCATTATCCTAGGTGAACTAACGCAGGAACAGAAAACCCAACACTGCATGTTCTCACTTCTACATGGGAGCTAAACATTAAATACACATGAACACATTCTGTTTATTTATTCAGCATCATTTTTTGTTCTATTTCAGTTGGGCTCCCACTCCTTATGCCAGTATATTTCAACCTGCAATCTATGCAAGTGATGTACCTTCGAAGATACTGGGTGGTGAGTAATGTGACTCATTCTCTGAAACTAGACCAAGTAGAAGAGGGAAGATGAAAATGCTGTGTCCTCTCCAGATACAGCTTCCTTGAATAACAAGGCATAAGATTCAGCCAGAATGTGAAGGGACCCCAAGCCAATGAAGCAGAAATGAAATCATGTTCAGGGTGTATAACTTTCAAGTGCTTTTCTCTGCAGGACATCGCCTGGGTTAGCAGCTTTTACATCCGATATTTCATCACATTTGGCCCATACTATGGAATCTTTGGGACCGTGTTGCTCATCTATTTGGTCAAGTAAGAATACTATTTTATTTCGGTAATCCAGATGATCCTCGTCAGATCCTTCCCCATCAGAGCTATTTGTCATCAGTTTTAAAACAGATTATATTATGACATCATGCCCCATTTCTTGCAGCTGAGGTGTTTTTAAGCAAATGTGAAAAAAAATAGTTCAAATAGTTGAATAAGACGAGCCCTTTGCAAAAAAAAATTTGCCCAATCCCCATTTTTACCCACGTCCTGGATTCTTAAAGGAAGCATTTCAATTGAATCCTAAATCCTTAAAACTGTAATCTAGGTAGACATAGTAATCCCTACCAAAGAATGACAGGGAAGGAATTTTTTTTTTAAGTTATTTTATGACTAGAGGTTTTCCCAATGCATTTTTGTTTGAATAGTCCTCTCCAATTTTCCAATGTAATCCTCCCTCATTCTGTTGTCAAGTTATTCTAAGTCCTAAATAATTATAAGAATAATGATAGCTACTATGCATCAGACACTTTGTTAAAGGCTTTACATGCTTTATCTTATTTGATGTAATCCTCACACAACTCGGCAGTGTAGATAGTATCATGCTCATTTTTCTGCTAAAGGAACTGAAGTTTAAGGAGATTAAATCATAGGCCCAAGGGCATGTAAGAGCAAGTAAGAGCCAAGGCCAGTGCCGAAACAGAACTTGAATCCACCTCTTATCTGACGACAAAGCCCAGGCTGTCAACCAGTTTGCATGTGCCCTTAAATTTCCCTAGTGGTTTTGATCTTTGCACTAGAGCTACAGAAAACTTTAGAGGTTCTGCTCCCATACATTTGGCAGTCATGTGGCTGAATGCTTAGTGTGTCATCTCTTGATATAAAGGTCTTTCAGAGAAGAAAAAGAAAGATCATCATTTTACTGGAAACTTTGAGTCTCTTTCATTTCCTCCAGTGCTCAACCAGCTCTACCAGGGGTTATGCAAGCCCAGTGCTTGCTACTGAAACACCCTAAACAGTCATCACTTCCTCTTCTTATTCCTCCAAAAGGTTTCTTGAAAGTCCTTGGATTGCATATGTTACCCAGATGAGCCACATACCAATGAGAATGAGCACAGAGGAGAACCGAGACTGGCTCAGCACTCAGGTAATGATGGAGTTCCTCGGGGAGAATCTTTCTAACCACACTGATTTAGAACCCAGTCCCTCCCTTGACACACGGGGATTATGGGGATTACAATTCAAGATGAGATTTGAGTGCGGACACAGGAAAACTGTATCAATGGACAATTTGATGGGAAGAGGGCTAGGAAATGGGTGCTAGTTGACAGTTGGGGAAGAAATTATAGGGGTGTGGAAAATGTTCCCAGTCCACCTTTGGGTGGGGCCACAGAACCCATCAAGTCATGAGTCATGCATGGGTCCAAGTGGGGACAGTCTGAAAAACATCTCAAAAAATTAATCTTAGGTTCTATAATAGTGATGTTATCTACAAGCACAATTGGGAAAGTCACAAATCCTGTCACCTCTGGCCGCATGACTCCTGAGCAGTAAAGAATTATAGAAACTATGCCTCCATCTTAGCAGAATTCAGGCCCCTCTCACAATCCTAACGTTATGGCCTTTTATTAGTTATACAAAAGCAGTTTAGTTTTGGGAAGGGCTACTATCATCCTTGCTTTAAGGTTAAACTACAAAATAAGTTCCTCCCAAAGTCAGCTTAGCCTACACCCAGGAATTACAAAGGACAGCTTGGAGATCAGAAGCAAGATGTAGTCAACTATGTCAGATTTATCTTACTGTCATAATTTTGCAAAGGTGGTCTCAAATATTTTCTTTGTTTGACACTTGGGCTCATTTATAACTAATATAAGCTTTTTCTTTGCAGGTCTTGGCCACCTGTAATATTGAACAGTCCTTTTTCAATGACTGGTTCACTGGGCACCTGAACTTCCAAATTGAGCACCAGTGAGTAACAAGAATAGTCCTTAGTAGGGCAAGTGCAGTCACTTATAACATCCCCATATATAATCCAGATCAGGCCCTAGGCTCAAAGTCTCAGAGAACCAGCATTTTCTACAAGCTGCTATCTTTCTACTAGCAATAATGGGGAAGAAAGGGAAGGAAGGATGGAAGGATGGAAGGAAGGAAGGAAGGACAGAAAGAGAGAAAGAAAACAAGAAAGAGAGAGAGAAAGAAAGGAAGGAAGGAAAGAAAGGAAAGAAAAGAAAAAGAAAGGAAGAAAGGAAGGAAGGAAAGATTGTGAGTAAATAGAGTGAAATCTTGGAAAAGTGCCTGTGATTCCATTTTCAGACACCTGCAGGCTTGAGAAGTGGGTAACCAAGTTGTGTTGAAATTTAAATATCTATCTCTTTAGATCTGAAGTTATAAAATAATCAATGATAAAACCCATTCCCTGACGCAATATTCAAATGGTATTGGCAATACTTTGCCAATGAGTCAGTTAGGTGGCCATAAAATAAAGAGAAAATCGTAACAGTTGGAGAGTTGATCTCCAGAATATTCAAGGGAGAGACTGTCCACATCCTCTTTACCTAAGCCATATTTTGGATAGTCAGAGAAGGAAAGAGCTCTTACACCTGCTCATTTAATTTTCTCATCCTTTCCTTCATGTTAGTTCTTAAAAGTCTCAGCAAAACAAGGAAGGACTATTATTCACATTTTATCAAAGATTAAGTTAAAACCCAGGAAAGTCACCTGGGTGATTACTGGAAAATCTTAAATAAAAATCCGTATCTCCTCACTCCTTATTCCTATCCCAGGACTCTTTGCTATATGCCATGACTAGAACTTACTGAATATTCATCTATTCATGGGATAGGAGTTAGATGGTGTTTGGGAACCTCCGCCTAGTCTCTTTGCTAAAACGTAACAAGAGTCACCTTTACTCGAGTTCCCAATAAGTTCCTCATCTTCATCTGAGACCACCTCAGCCTGGACCTTATTGTCCATATCATTGTCAGCATTTTGGGCAAAGCCATTCGATAAGTCTCTGGGAGGTTCCAAACTTTCCCACATTTTCCTGTCTTATTCTGAGCCATCCAAACCGTTCCAACCTCTGCCTGTTACCCAGTTCCAAAGTCATTTCCACATTTTGAGGTATCTTTTCAGCAACATCCCACTTCCGGTTCCCATTTACTATATTAGTCTGTTTTCACACTGCTGATAAAGTCATACCCAAGACTGGGAAGAAAATGACGTTTAATTGGAATTACAGTTCCAAATGGCTGGGGAGGACTCAGAATCATGGCGGGAGGCAAAAGGCACTTCTTACATGGCAGTGGCAAGAGAAAATGAGGAAGAAGCAGGAGAAAATGAGGAAGAAGAAAAGCAGGAACCCCTGATAAACCCATCATGTCTCATGAGACTTATTCACTATCATGAGAATAGCAGGGGAAAGACTGGTCCCCATGACTCAATTACCTTCCCCTGGGTCCCTCCCACAACACGTGGGAATATGGGAGATACAATTCAAGTTGAGATTTGGGTGGGGGTACAGTCAAACCATATCCGATGGATAGAGAAAAAGAGAGAGACAAAGACAGAGACAGAGATGGGGGACAGGGATATCTTCAGCTCCCCTAGGTAATTCAAAGTGATAGACAATCCATACCTTCATTTAACATGGCAAAATATAAACATATTCAATGAAGATAACATTTACTTTGTTAGCATTTCCCAAACATTCACCACCCACTTGGCTTGCAGAGGTGTTAAGAGATAAGGATATTTTGGCAGGAGGTTTTTAACTTCCCAGAACAGCCGTATTGTGCAAGGTCAAGGTTGGGTCTGCATTGCTGATATAGTTTTATTTGGTAACAGAAGGAAGAAAACTCAGAGTTTTTCTTTAGGTCTAAATTTTATATCTCTTGTATCTTTCTCCAGTCTGTTCCCCACAATGCCACGCCATAATTATCACAAAGTGGCGCCTCTGGTGAGGTCACTGTGTGCCAAGCATGGATTGCAGTATGTGAATAAACCCATGTTGAGGGCGTTTGGAGATATTGTCAGGTAATAACATAATTTCTCTTGGCTCACAGCTCTCATTTGTCTTTACTGCCACTCCCCAGACTATTCAGTGGCTTATGAATCATTCATTTAACAACCATTTATTAAGGGTCACCTGTGTGCTCAGCGTGGCTACGCGGCACCATAGGGAACCGTATCAACAACAAAATAATGATAATACTGACCTTTTACCTATAGGTACAGCTTAGTAAAAATGCTTTACTGTCCTACTAAATTTCAAATTTCTTAAAATCAAGGCTGTATATTATTTGCCTTTCTATCCCCCACAGAGCTTCCTACATGTGTTAGAATTTAAGTAGTGGGAGGAACTGTCAGATCATCTGGTCCGGTGTTGCAAATTTAGAAGCCTGCAGGGTCCAGTGGGGTATAAATGTGCAGCTCAGGCTGGGGTGATTAATTAAGAGTAGTGAGGCATGCAGAAACTGAAAATCCATACTTATCCTTAGGCATTCACATACAATTTCCTAAAGAATGTTGTGCTGGTTAAATGAACAACCAATAATCTGGGTTTAATAACTTTCTCTTTAGTTTAGGATTGAAAAAAAAAAAAAAAATCTCAAATGAGGTCAACAAGGCCAGGCCTGATCTGATCTGATCCCTGACCAGTGCTCCAGCTTCAGACTCTCCACCACACTCCTCTTTCTCTGTCCCCCAGATAATTTCCTCCAGAAATTAGTGCAATTGGCCTACCTTAAGTTGCCGTGAAACTCCCTTCCCTAGTTGTCTTATCCTTTTGCCACTTTTTCTTCTGCCTGGAATGTTCCCCCAAACCTCTACCTCCCTTGACATCATCTTGTCAATTGCCATTCTTTCTCCAAGGCTCAATTCAAATGCCTTTTCCTCATGTCTATCTCCTCTGACCCCAAAACTAAATTAGTCGCCTGCTCTTGCAGCACCTGGTTCTCTTCATTTGTGAAGTTTATCACAATTGTATTCAAATAACATATTGGGTAATAAATTATTTAATATGTGTCTCCCAAGCTAGACCAGGAATTTCATGTGGACAGGACTCACATCTACCCTACTCATTGCTGTACTACCAGAGCCTAGAAGAATGTCCTCCATATTATAAAATAGGGTTGATAGATAAATATAGGATGGGTGGATTTACAGGTATATAGGCTCAGAAAAGAATAAAATGAAAGAAAATCTCAATGTTCTCCATAAAGGAAAGGTGAATTCACCTGCTAAAAACAATTCAGTCAACAGAATTGGTCAACAGAGGATGACATTTATCAGATGTAGCTGGAAATGACAACATTGTTCTGAACCAGGCAGAGGAGCAAATTCCATGTAAGAGCTTTCTTAACATTACAGTCTCACCTCCTGATGATCTTGTTTATTCCTTCCACAGAGCCTTGAAGAAATCTGCAGCCCTCTGGGTGGATGCTTACTATGAAACATGATGCCAAATGTCAGCCTTGATACACATGTAATTGCATCTCTGATGAGGGCTGGTGCATGTGCAGGAGCTCTTCCTTGCTTAACTGGGAATTAGTTATCACCATTGGTATACCTGACTGTGCTGTTCTGGGAATATGAATCCCAAGCACATGTGATAAGCCCTTCCCTAAAAGTCTTCTTTGCAAGTAACAACCTAGGAAACACAAGATGGCATTGACCAGGGTTATAAAAGGGAAATAGAGCCCAAAATTTTTGTTTTTTCACTAGAACCTTAAACTCAGTCCACCCAATAGACCTTAGTCAGATCATCTCAGTCAAGGGTCAGAAGTACAAGAACCAGGCGAAAGTTTTATGGATGAAGTGGACAAAGGAGAAGTTGGCCAAAAGAGAGCCATCTAACAGGGTACTTTGGAAATTAGTGCAGTTGCGCTTAGAAAAGAATCATATGTGTAAGAAGTTCCTCTTGAAGCACAAACGTTTTTTACTTATTTCTTTTCATATGTGTGAACTCTTTTTCTTTAAAAACTGAATATAATTAACATTAAAATTTCTTCAAATATTTCAATATTGACTTCACATCTTCATTATTGTAACTGCATATGTGTCATTAATGTATATATACATTTTCTTTCCAAGTAGACAAAATATCTATGAAATATCTTAAAAGAACTTCCTACATCTAGTCCTAATAGCAACAGATCAAGCAGGTTAATGTTCTGTATTTAAAGATGTGTTGTGTTTCACTAAAGAATAGACTGTGTTTTAAGTATAAGATTTTGTTGCCTACTCCCTACCCACCATGCAGAACTACTGTACTTTGTAATTGAGTTACCCGGATGAAAGAAAGAGTTCTGTTTTCTCTAATGGAAACTCCAAGCATTGACAAGGCAGTTTTCAAGTTTGACACCAAAGTAAGCATGTCTTAGAACAAGAGGGCTTTCTCTCTCACAAGAGAGGGTTTTAGTGCTAGAAGGATAAGTGGACACTCTTAGTAACATGCTGATCTCTAGTGTCTAAACTTTTATTAAAGGTTACCTTAGCTGCAGAAAGCACAATAGTGCAAGCTTGCTTCCCCAGCTCCAAACAAGTCGGTGCTACTGGATTAGCTGTTGCCTGAAATTCTACCAGTATACATTCATTCCCTTACTCCAAGCTCTGCAAAATACTCTTTTAGCTTTGTTTGTTTCTCAATTAAACCCCTACTAGAAAATAACACATTAAATCACTCATAGCTCCTGGGAACTTAGCCACACATGTCAAAGTCAGGAAAACAAAAACTGGTTGTCTGGGAGGAAGAGGCATTATTGAAATGATAATGGCTAATATCAAATAGGAATGTTGGGGAGGAGATGAAAAGAATAAAAAGCTATTTCGACTTCATGGCTCTTTATAATAGGCAGGCAAGTGCCCATATTCCTCCTGCTGGTGGATTTCAGATGATTTCTCCTGCCTCAGTTCAGGGTTACAAGTGGGAGTGGGCTCAATGGTTGGCTTTTTCCGTCTCCCCTGGTCCAAACCAGAGACTCTCAAGCACTGCTTGTTCTCCTGATTACTTAGAAATAGCAACCCGACTCTCCTTGGGCAAATTTACTATCTCAAACTTGTTCCCCACTCAGTGTTAAAAATAGCCCACTTTGTAAATCTCCAAACAGACTTGATTACTGTGTAATTTGAAGAAAGTTGGGATATTTAAACAGATTATACAAGGAAACATGAAATCAAAAAAGGTGCTTGGGTCAGGCTCGCATCTGTAATCTCAACATTTGGGAGGCCAAGGCAGGAGGATCTCTTGAGTCCAGATGTTCAATACCAGCCTGGGCAACACAGAGAATTTTTGAGCAACTAGAGTTTTGTTTTGTTTTGTTTTTATTTATTTTTATTTTTTAGAGATTCTGTCTCTTAAGTAAATAAATAAATAAATAAAATTCAAAATTCCAGAAAGGTGCTAGACCATCTGATTCTGGGCTCTTCTTTGCTGGGAGGTTTTTGATTACTGCTTTACTCTCCATAATCATTATTGACCTGTTCAGATTTTCTTTCTTCATGATTCAGTCTTGGTGGGTTTTATGTTTCTAGGAATTTATCCATATATTCTAGGTTACTCAATTCGTTTGTGCATAGTTGTTCACAGTAGGCTCTTATGATCCTTTGTATTTCTATGGTTTACAAAAATATGGAAACTGAACCATGTGTCATTTAAGGATTCATAAATATGTAGTAACGTGATAAAGAGAAGCAAGAGAATAGTACACACAAAAATGAGGATCATAGTGAGGGAAAGGTGCTAGGTAAGAATGAAAATGTATCAGTAAGGTAAATTTTAATTTGCTTAGTAGGTTGTTAGTTAATTAAAATCATCATTTTTCTGAATTCATTATCTCAACTGTTGTCTCTCTCTCACCCTGTGGTGACTGGCATTTACACTTGGTGAAGCATTAGCCATATTTTTATTGCTTGTTCAATACACTTTCCAGAGGAGGAGAACCAAAGCCTACTGCTTTCACAGCTTTGAATACCACTGAGCACTGAGTTAAATTCAGATGACTGATCCTGCAGGTCATTTTATTTCTAACCTTCAGGCTATAGGGCTCCACTTAATGGGCATAGGAATGAAAGTGGCTTCATCAACCAGGCTCATGTCTCTTTTTACTAAATGACTCCTGGCAGTTATGTTATAGCCCTATCTGAAACTCTTCAATAGATTCACATGACTCTTGGAATAAAGTCCAAACCCCAAGACTGCCCCATGGCCACTACCCCACCTTGTACCACTCTGGCACTTGCTATCTCTGTTTCAGCCCACTGGCTCTCTTCAAGTCTTCACGTTCTTTTCTGCCACAGGCTTGCTCCTGATCCCAATGGCTGAACCATTTTGTCAACTGTCTGCCCTCACTCCATCTCACCTGGTCAATCTGCCACTCAATTTCAGATCTCAGGACTATTATCACATCTCAGTATAGTTTTACCCACTATCCCAGAGTGCTTCCTCACTAAGTAAAGGCTTCCTGTGACATACTCAGTAGCAATTACCATGGGTATAATTTTATATTAATTTATGTGGTGTGTTAATTTGTTTGTCTCCCTCTTTAGCCTGCAATATCCATGAAGCAAGGATTTCTTGACATGTTAGAGACACTCAGTAAAGATATGCTAAATGGAGGAAGAAATGAATGGATGGATGCTAATTCTAAGGGGCTACAGCAAAAAAAAGTCCTCCCTGGCCTTCTCATGGAAATTTATCCTTTTGTTTAACAACTTACCAAAAGAAACTTCTCCTGCTCCTTCGTTTTTATGTCTGTACCTTAACCTTATACTGTTTACCTAGAAAACTATTTAACGTTTTCTTATTGCAAGAATTTTCTGATTCCAAAAATATGTTTATGTAATTTCTTCCAATTAGATAAGTTGAATTAAATATATGAGAATAATTCCATATTCTAATTTTGAATTTTTTTTAATTTTATCATGGTAAAAACACTTATTATGACATCTATCCTATTAACATTTTTATGTGTACAATACAGTATTGTTTTCTATAGGCACAATATTGCAAAGTCGATCTCTAGAAATTATTCCTCTTGCATAACTGAAATTTTATACCTGTTGATTGGCACTTCCCATTTCCCCTTCCTCCAGTCCCTAGCAACCACCATTCTATTTTTTCTTTCTGTGAGTTTGACTATTTTAGATACCTCATGTAAATAGAGCCATATACAGTCTTTGAGGTTAATTTATGTTGTTGCTATTATAGGATTTCCTTTTTTCTTAAAGCTGAATAATATCCCATTGTATGTATACACCACATCTTTAATTTATTTACCCATTGATGGACATTTAGATTCTTTCCTCACTGTGCCTATCGTGAATGATGTTGCAATGAACATAAGAATGCTAATATATCTCTGAGATTCTGATTTCAATTTTTTTGATAAATATCCAGAAGTAGGATTGCTAGATAAAATTCTCACCAATATTTATAAGGATCTATGATCAATAAGTACTGATATATACATCTTCATGGGCATTATTCCATTTAATCCTCAAAACAGGCCCATTGGGCATAGGTACTGTAATTAACCTCATTTTTTTAGATATAAAACCTGAGGCTTAAGGAGGCCAAGCAATTTGCCTGATGTTGCAGGTAGAAATTGGTAGAGTTTCAGACCCAGGAATATCTGACTCCAAGTCAATGCTCTTTAATTCCCATGCCAGGAAATCCAAAGTAAAAGATAAGAAAGTGGCATATATTCAAGCCAGGGAAAATTCATCTTCTTTACAGCTATCACAAGGAAGTGGCATAAATTCAAGCCAGGAAAAATTCATCTTCTTTACAGCTATCTTCATATGGCTTTCCCTGATCCTGTTTTCTCTAAAACTTTACTCTTCTTGACAGAATTAGGTAGTGAGAATTTGCCGGCATTTTTAGTTGGACATCAAGTAAGAGTGCCCGGATTTGAAGTCAGAAGTCTAGACTCTAATTTCAGTTTATTAACTTAGTATCCTACAGTGAACTTGGCCATGTCACTTACACGCTCCGTACCTCAATCCCCACATTTGTATAGGTGTGATGCACAATATTTCCTGGCATATGTGCATCATAGGATGATTGTGACAATTATGTGAAGTAAGACAAATGGAATGGTTTTATAAGCTAGCAACACCCATTCACATTATAGTTACTGATGTTCTATAATGAGAGTTCTTCCCATCCTAAATCCACAAAAAGCATGAAAGGCCACAGAGTCACCGAGACCTACAGGATGGAAAGACACTGAATCATTTTAACAATGACAGAGTACCTTTCCCCAGAGGCTTATGAGAGGCGTATGAGTCACAAATGAAAAAATGATTTCTCCTGTTGCAACAAGTAACATCCATGAGTCATCTTGCACCTTTGACTGTAATTAATCCCCTGGTACCCGCCTGCACATCTCAGAGGCTGTGGGGCAGGTAGTAGAAAGCCGAGATTCTGGTTATCCGAACTTCTGATTAACCATGTGAG